TCTACATAACCATAAAGTTGATCAACTCGCTAAATCCTCCTTAATGTCATCACCTTTACCTTTAATCTTTAATCAAACTCCTTATTTCTTCTACATTCCAACATTTAATAACATGCTTATCTTCACTACACTACGTCCATTTCTCAAAAATTATACTAACACTAAACAATTTATTGATTTTTACTACTTAAAAAGAAATAGTAAATACAGTCAACTTCAAATTAATTGGTCATTAACTTTTGATTTTATCAAACTCAGCACTTTCACTAAAATCTCCTTTGAACAAATCCTCACTATAAAATTCATGAAATCAACTCAAACTACGATTTATAACTCTACATAGTTGTGTTGTCGTTACAACACTGATAAAAAACAATTTAATCACATATGGATTTGTCCTAAAGCGAAAAAAGAGATGAAACAAATCATTATCACAGCTCTTCATATCCTAAAAAATCAACTTTTCATTCATACTTCACGCACAGTCTAACCTCCTGACATTAATTCATTGTTACTCTCTCACATCCTTTTTGGGCTTTAAAAGAGGGTCTTTACAACATTTCTTTCATAGGATTTCATTAAAGGCATAGTTTCTTCTGCTCTTCCTAAGTTACTCGACTTCTTTACCAACTCTTCCTCTTGCATCTCTAAAATTCTTTCCTTATTTATGATTACATTTTTAATCAATCTTATAAAGTTATCTGAAAATCTAGATACGCAGCTACTATAGAAAAAGAACGTTCACTTAACATCTTAAAATATAGCAAAAAATGAAATTATAGTCTTTCTAACAATTTTATTATTAACAGTTTTTCAAACTCACTGTTATTTTTACCTGAATATAAATATAATTATACTTCTCTTATGACTAAATTATTTGTTTATGAACAAAACTAGTCCTTCTTTCTCACGTAGTAATAACTATTTGTCAAATATTTTTCTCTTCTTTATTTGAATGGCAATGGTAATTCTACTAGTGATTGTTACCAGAGCCTGACAGGACAACTGGTTGGTCTGATTGGAGTTAGTTTACTAATGATAATTATTAGACATCATTTTTTATTTTTCTACATTTGTACCCTTTTCTGGGAGTTTCATGTTTTCTTTAAAACTGATTATGAATATTTTAATAAATAAATGCATTACTGCGTCTTAAAAAAAAAGCTGATCCAAAATCAATGAATGTTAGCTCATTAGATTCGTCTAATCACAAGGAATCGAATGGTGGTTGTTTCATACAAATCAGTGTGATATTGATTGAGATCATATATCTTCTATTTTTTTTGTTTTTTATATATAAAAAATCATGTGATATGACATCATTTCGACTATTTTGACTTTTTATTTTGACTTTGATCTCTAAAGTCGAAACATTTTAACTTTTGGATTTTTATTTTGACTTCATGTATAGTCTGAATGTTTTTTTTTTATGTATATTATGATAGTCATCCAGATTATATACAAATAAGTTTTCTTTCTAAATTAGTTTTAAATATGTATTTAATTAATATTTTAAAGATTTAACATTAATTTAATAAATTACTTATATTTTCATTAAAAATTTTTTTAACTCTATTAGTATGTTGCTTTGATATTCATTTCTTTTGATTATATAAGGTCATATATGTTATTTTAATCCCTGTATTACTTAAATTATTTATTGCTTTTAAAGACAATCCACAGGTATTTAAATATATGTTTAATTTAATTTTAATAGTATTAACTTGCATATTTTGAATATCAGCTATAAGGTATAATATAATAATAATATTTTTTTGTTTTTTCAGCTTTTTGATTAATTTTCCAACCTTAGTTAAAAATATGTTGCATATTTTATTTAAAAAAATTATTAAGATCTAAATCATTTTCAGTAAGATATTAATTGAATTCATAAGAATCAAAAATAAAATCCATCAATTCTTTATGCTGCATCTAATAAAAAATATCAGTCATTTTTTTTGAATTTTAGAAGCCAAAGATATTCCTTCAGAAGATAATTCAGATTCAAACTCATTTTATAATTCTGATGTTCTATTTTATTACTTTCTACTATAGACATACTGTATAATATGAAAAACAAATAATATCTTTCAGCTTTAAGTAAGGAAATAAAGTTAGTGCACCACGAATTTTTGTTTTATTAAAATCTATTTCAGTTAATCTTCGAAAATCTGAAGAATTTTTTGAACATAAGATATAGAACAAGGCCCAAGCAATTTTGGAGGTGGCATTATAAAATATATTTTAAAAATTAAAAAATTTTTTATTGATCTTGAAATAATATGGGTGATATGCTATTAAAATTGAGGTATAAGATATAGTAAATCATATTATCTGTACCTCAATTTTAATAGATCACCCAAATTGTTATATTGATTAATTAATCGCTAAATTCCTAGTCACATGATTAAAATATCAGCCAATACAATCAATAGTTTCCAATCACATGATCTGATCAGCATAACCAATCATTAGGACTTTTATCTATGCTACTTTAACCTAACAAACTCCAAAAATTTGATAGGGAAAACTTATAAATATTGAAACCTAATAAAACTATATAATTTACTTTATTGAGATTAGGGAAACTTAATAAAGTGTTAATTATAAACAAAATAGTATAATCATAAACTTGAAACTAACAAATATTAATTAAAGAATTTAGACTATTTATCCACCACTTTAAAACAAGTGAGCCCACTTGCGCCCAAAATGATGTCCTATATACAAATACCGAAATAAAATTTAAATTGTTTCTGTTAATCTCTACCAGAAGAATGTCGTATTCTTCGCCCCGATGTAACTACCACTTGATATCTCCCATAAAATTACACCTGAGCAATTTTGGGGGTAGCAGCAACTTCTTTTGCGGCAACTTTGGGGTAGCAGCAACATTGGTAACACCACTCTTCCTACTAACTTTTTTGATCAATAAATGGGTCAAAAAATTTATGTTGGCCCCCAAGATTATCCATGATTATTTTGCGCTTCTATATTGTTATGCGCTTCAAACCATTTCAACCTCATAATATCTTGGGGGTTCGCACTGTTTCTATTCCATCTTGAATCATTTTCAATAGTCCTTGTTGAATGGTTCCAAGGCATTGAACGAATTATTGGCTTTTGATAAGATGATAACCTAATTTTTTTTAAAAAGAAAAAAAATAAAATTTGTTAGATAGAAATCCTAGTGAATGTTGGTTTTTTTTTTATTTTTACGAGTATATCAAAAGTAGAATAGTACTTCGCTTCATAAAAGCAAGTCAAGTTGATAATCCAACCAAAAAAACAAGTACTCTTCTTGACTCAATATATACCATATATTCAGTATAAAATTAAATGAAAACTTACTCATTTTCCATCATTGTTAGAGCTACGGTATATTATTTATTAAATTAAATAGCACTTGCAGCAGAATTTAAAGAGTTGAAAGTTAAAAAAGTAAGAAAATGAGATTTTGTAAGGTAAAAAGAATAACGAAATAAAAATTCTGTGGGAACAATTTATAAATCGGTATAGAATAAAAAAAAGATTATCCGATCTGACTAAAGCAGAACAAAAAATTGTCATACAACTGTTATCTGATTATCATCGATAAGTTAATTATTCTCCGAGTCTCAAAAAATCGAGTTTTATGACATTTAAAAAAAGAATTATAAAAAATGAAAATGGCGAGAATTCTTTGCAGGAAAAAAAATTAAAATGTAAATTCACGTATAAACGTCGAATCCTCTGGTCAAAATAGGAAATCCTAGAAAAATAATTCGGTAGTAATGAAAAAGAAAAAAGGTATAATAAAAAAATTTTTTCTAGTTCTTTTAACGTTCATGAAAGGAATTTTCTTTTTTCATATATTTATTTAATAGAGCCGACGAAAATAAATTAGAATTTTATTCGAAAACAATGAACATTTTGTTGGATAAATATTTAAAAACATCAACGCAGGTTGAATTTGTCCTGAGAAAAAAAGGACGACGTCGAGATGTCTTTTTTATGAGTGATCATAACCACCTAAAATTGGTATGTATTTTTTTTTCTCCATGTATAGACTTATATGTAGTATTGATTTATTTTATTAATATTCTGCACGGATTTCAATTTCATCTATTAGATTACATAATATTATCATTCAATGGCATGTTGCTCATAGAATACAAATTGGATATTTTTTTTATACGTTAGCATTATCCGTAGTTATGGTTAAGAATGCGTTCTCCAATATTATACTATTTTATAACGGAATAAAAATATGAATAATGACATGTGAAATATTTATAAAAATAATGAACTTTTAAACCAAATTCACACGTTAGTAATTTTGACCCGATTTCTGTTGGTCAAAATTAAAAACCTAATTAAACCCAATTAATCATAATTTTTGAATTCTTTTTATTTTAAATTACCTTCCTTCATATAATGTTCAGTAAGACTCCTTGCGAAGATTATGCTGTTCGTGCTGTTTAACAAGTGCTGGCAATTGACATCCCGCATGACTGAAGGAAGTAATAAATGCTTTAATTTCAAAATATTATATTATTAAGCTTAAATAAGTGGTGGATTCTTGGATATTCGATTAATATAGCGAAGACAAATGGTTTTGCTTTATTGCATTACTACTTCTCAAGAATTTTAAGATATTATTTCTATTGTTCGATCCCAATTTCTGGAATTTCTATGAAGACTAAGAAACTTGAAACACGTCATACAAGGTATACTCTTAATAGATATTATATTGGAGTCTTTTATTAACTTATTATTCTTATGACTAACATAACGTCTTGGAATTCTCGTCATAACAGAAAGTTTAACAACAACAAAAAAATACTTCTTTGACAGCAACAGCAGAATTCTCTACTACAAAAGACATTATAGATGATAGATAGATCATGCGAAATTATTGAATCCTTTGAAAATTAGATCAGATTCAATCATCATCACTATAGGATTTGTTTATTAAAATAATATTATATACCCTTGATCGGATCAGGCCCCATCTTTAGATGTTGTATCTGCTTTTAGAACGTAATATTGGTCTGGGTGCTACGGAAAATTTAATTGATGCAGAATTTTGAAAATTATATTCAAATTTTTCTCTTGTAATTTTTTATTCTTGGTAAAAGAACTTATTCATTATCACAAGGATGTAAATCTTGATGCTTGTAATGTGGATGTGCATTTTGAAGAAATCTTTGATATGGTAAATGATTAAAGTTTTATTTCCCAAAATTCAAAATAATTAATCAATAATTTTATAGCATGATCCAGATGATTATGAGGTTGTACCTCAATCTCAATTGGATATCTCGCGTCAAGCTTTTCGCAATAATGCTAGCAAGTATTTCATTAACGGACGACAAAGCAATTACACTGAAGTTACAAGTCTTTTGAAATTTCGATTTTGATCATAAACGGTTTCTAATGTTGCAGGTGACTTTTTTATTTTTTAAAACAATTTTTTTATTTTTCGTTGGAGGTAATTATTAATGTATTGACATCATCAAAATTTTGTGCTTAAATTAATGATTAGGGAGAAATTGAATCAATATCACAGATGAAACCCAAAGCACCAAATAAGCATGAAGATGGACCCTTAGAATTTCTTAAAGACATTATCGGAACTTCTAAATTTAAAATCCCACTTGAAGAAGCAAATGAAAGCTTGAATTATTGGATGAAGAACGTTCAGAGAAATTAAATCGCGTTAACCCAGTTGTGAAAAGGAGAAGTTTAGAGGTAACATATTAAACAATCGCGTTTGTGTTCATATTAAATAACAATTATGATTCTAATTTTATTAATTATAAAGGCCAAGAAAAACGAAGCTGAAGAATTTCTGAGATGAAAACACGTTAAATTTGAAACAGTCTGCTCTATCAAAAAAACTTGTTAAATTGTAAGAATAAGACTCAAATATTAATTAAGGCTGTGGTAAGTCATTAGATTTAATAACTTATTCAGACAAGCTAATTTAATATGACAATTAATTTATTTTATAAATTCTTAGAATAAATTAAAAGATCAACTAAAAGAAGAAGCGAAGCATGTTCAGATAAAACAAGATAACAACGGTCTCGAAAATCAATACAAAGATTCTGTTCATGCCTTTCTGGTAAAATAAATTATTTTAATTTACAAATATATAAACTTTTCATTAATATGATAATTGTATTTATTTAACAAGCAACTTGAAAATTTTCTAGAAGAATTGGCAAATCATGAAAGAAGATATTAACCTCGAAGAGAGAAAGAAACATGCAACGTCTAAACAAAAAAAGTGACAATGACAATTTCTACAGTAGGTTATATTAGATTATGTTATTTCGATGCATATATATATTTTCGAGGACATACAATAAGCTTTTCATTATAGGATCGTCATGGACTTTCGGAAGTGAAAACAGCGATACGATTTAATGACCAGGATTTGAATAATCGAATGGAAGTAATTGTGGGCTTGGAAAGATCTTTAGAGGCTCAAGAAAGTGAACTTGAAAAAATCATGGAAGCTTTAAAGGGTGAGAATCGATTACTTTAATCCAACTGTGTTAATATTTTTTTTTATATTGCAATTATATTGAAACTGGATTTAACCTTAAATAAAGGCAAGTCTGAAGTTTACTCTAACCAAATTGAAGAAAGAAAAGAGAACTTGCGCCTTGTTCAAGCAATCTCTTGTTGATATCAAGGAATCAGAGTATATTATTTTAAAAGAGATAGTTGATTCAATAAAACAAGCTCTAAACTAGCGGAAGATACTGATGTCGCGCTTTGAGAATCATGTCGGAAAAGGTATTATTAGAATGAATCAATTTGCTTTTTTGCTGATCAATTAATCATAAATGAATTGCTTAATTAGGATCAAGAAATCTCATCTAAAAAGAATCAAATCAAAGACTTGAAACGAGAAATTCAACAATTGGACACTGATTTATAGGTTATTATTTAATTTAACATTTAAATTAATATATTTTTTTTAAGTATTTTATAAATATCTTTTATTACTTTAGTATATATTACCTTAGTCAGCAAAAAAATCTCAGGTCTAGTCTTGCCGATTCTCAACAAAGAGAAGAGGTGGCGAAAAATCTTTTACAATCTTCTCAATCTAGAGGACAAATTCTTAGCAGCTTGATAAATCTCAAAGATAATGGTCGTATCAGCGGATTATTCGTAAGTTCGACGGAGCGGAGTGTTCTATAAATTGTTTTGCTGAAAATCTCATTTATTTTAATTTTTTTATTAGGATCGTTTGGGTAAACTTGGTGTTGTTAATGATAAATACGATGTCGCGATTTCAACCGCCTGTCCTGCATTGAACGACATCGTGGTTGATTCTGTTGAAGTTGGACAAACTTGTGTAGAATATCTTAGAAAAAACGATTTAGGTCGCGTCACATTCATTCTTTTGAATAACCTACCTATCGTGGATATGCGGCCGATACAAACACCTGAAAATGTTCCCCGTCTTTTTGATCTTGTTAAGCCGAAAGATGACAAGTTTATCCCAGCATTTTATAGTGCGTTACAAAATACTTTGGTAGCCGAAAATCTACAACAAGGTAATAGGGATAGCATTTGGTAAAACTCGAAGGCGCGTAGTGACTTTAAATGGTGAATTTATTGACAAATATGGCACTATGAGTGGCGTAAATGACCAAGTGTTGAAAGCTTTCGACATAACATCCGAGACAATAGCAAAATTAGAAAGAGAACATAGTCACTTAGAGTTTAATGAAAAACTTAGTCTTTTAGAATCTCAACTTCAAGAGAAAAAGAATGAACTTCCTAAATTAGAGTTTGAACTATTGCCTAATAAAACCTATTTTGGATTTTATATAAAAGGTTTAACTTCTAGTATCAAAAAGAGTATATTAGATTATATTTATAAAATTTACAAAATTAAAAATATATTTACTTTATATCCAATATTGATTTATTTTTATATTTATTTTTTATTGATTATTTGATATTATTTGAAATTAAAGTAAAAAGTAAAACTTTATATAGAGTAAATAATATTATTAGTTTGATTATAATAAAAATATAAAAAATTTAAATAAATAATAATAAATAAAACCTGAAATATTTGTTAAAGATTCTTTAGCTAATTTTATTTCTAATTTTTTTACTAAGCATTTTTATTAATATTTACATTTGTTAAAATATTATGTGTTTCTAATTATTCTGTTACTTGTTTTTTTTTTAGTTTTTTTATAGGGATTCCTAAAATAATAAAGATTGATGTTATTGACGAAATATATAATGACAACAAAAGAATAATAGTAATAAATAATAATAGTAAATAATGATGTTAATACAGAATATTATTGAAGTCGATAATGGATAATGATGTCGATAGATAATATTAATGATATTAATGATAAATTATAATAGCAAAAATGTTAATGAAAACATAATGATTATAATAGATAATATTATAAATAGATAATAAGAATGGGAAAAGGACATTAATAAAGGTGTATGATTAAAGATGGATACTATAATTAAGAAGTTGCAACTCGGTAAGTTGCAACTCCTTGTAAATTTATTTTAATATAAAAATTCATAAATAATTGCAACTCAAAGTGTTGCAACTTAAGTTGCAACTAGTTAAAAAATTTAAAAATAATTATGGGAACCATTTTTATGTATGATAATAATAAAATAATAATAGTAAGAATAATAGTAGAAGATACAAATGATGATGATAATAGATCAAATAATAATATATGGTTAGACTATAATAATAATAAGAATAATGAAGGAGAATATGAATGATAGTGATAACTAGATTAGATAATAATATAAGGTCAGATAAAATATTAGTAAGAATAATAATGAAGAATGTGAATGATGGTAATAACAGATCAAATGAAAATACAGGTCAAATAATAATAATAATAAAAATAATAATGGAAAATACGAATGATGATGATAATAGATCAGATAATAATATAAGATTGAATGATAATATTAATAAGAATGATGATGAAAGGATATAAATAATAGTGATAATAGATCAGATAATAATACAAGATCAGACAAAATATTAGTAAAAATGATGATGAAAAATGTGAATAATAGTAATAATAAATTAGATGATAATACAAGTCAAATGATAATAATAGTAAAAATAATGGTAGAAGATATTAATGAAAGTAGTGATAATAATATAAATAATGATAGTAAAGAATAATGATAAAAGATGTTATAAAAGTAAAGACAGATAATAATAAAGTTAAGAATGATAATAATAGTAAAAATAATAATGAAGGATATTATAAAAAACAGATATTGGTAATAATATTATTAGATAATAATTATGGTGAAAAATAATGGTATTAGAGGTTATTAAAAAAGGTGGTGATAATAATAGATAATAGAATATTAGTGGTAAATAATAATAATAAAGGATGTTATAATAATAATATTGACAAACAATAATAATGATAAATAATGATGGTAAAGGATAGATGAGAATGGTAGTAAATAATAATGGTAGGAATATTAAATAAAAGATAATAATAATGATAATAATAAAAAATGATAATAGAAGTTGTTAATAATGATAAATGCAAATAATAATGATGACAGATAATTGTCTGAAGCGTATGCGTAGGACACTTACGGTTAGACTTCATATTAATGATAATTCTGTCTGTCCGTACACGTTTATTATCTAATGAAATTCTGAGATCAGGTGTAACCATTAAAATAATAATAATAGCATTAAATTAATAATAATAATCATGTATCACTGATTTTAATACGTTTCGGACGCTCTAACAGTTCCTGTTACTTAGTAATATTATTAAATAATAATAATGGTAAAAATAATAATAGAAGTTATTAAAAAAGATTTTTTTACTAATAACTTAACTATTACTAAATCATTACTCTTACATTTTTTTACAAAACTTTTATTAGTTTCTATTATATTTGAATAGACTAATGTGATCTTTTCAAAAAAGCAGAAAAAATTATGAATATCAAATTATCAGATAAAAAATCCTTATAGATTAATCATGTCTCCTTATATTCTCCTTTCTCTTTTTTATCCATTTGCTCCTCTTTTGTCTCCTCCTTTAGGTATAGTAATAACTGGATAAATTTTTAGATAGATAGCAACCAGATCTTTTATTCTAAATAATTAAATTATTAGCTTAGAAAAGTATAAGATTAAATTTAACTTATTTTAGCTAATTGTATTTTTTTTATATTTTATTTACATTTAATAAAGATTATGTAAAGCTATCACATTTTAAAAATAACTCAAAAAAGATTTTTAGTCTTAAAGATATATTTTTCTAGTAAATCTTCTATATGCTATTTTTAAATGCAATTTTAAATGAATTTATATTATATTATAAACTCAGTTAATCAGCTAATATTATTTTAAAATTTAAGAAAATGTTCCTTATTAGTAAGGATTAGAGTTAAAAGTTTTGAAATTTTGAAGTTTAAATCTACAATTTATAAACTATAAACCTTTATTATATCAAAAACTATGATTATTAATATTATCAAGTTTATTATGATAAACTAGAATTTGTCATTTAATATTAAAAATATTAATATTATTAATATATTTAATCATTTATCACAAAATAAATATAAGATAAAAAAACTCATAAGATACTTATTTCTAATAATTGGTTTTAATAGCAATAAAATATCTATCTATTTGTTTGGAAAAGCAGATCTGATTTATTAAAAAAAAGCCTACCTTTATAAATTATATTATTATAAAATTACTAATAATATACAACCTATATGCTTTTTTATAAGCATTTTGTTTACTAAAATGTAATTTTTATTAGTTCATGAATAGTTTATTTTTATTTTTTATGATAATATTGATTAAGTAATAGGTAAAGTTTATGTTAGAATTAATGAAATTAGGGTTAATTTCTGATTAGGCTTAAAAGGTAGAATTATTAGTTAGTTATAAATAATAATATAAAATACAATTGATCAAAGTATTAATAAATTTATTTACAAAATCTTTCTTTTATTTAAATCTTTTTAAAATAGTTAATAATAATCTAATTTATATTTATAATTAATTTTTATAACGTTTATTTTTTTTTTATTTAATAAATTTTTTTTTTAGCTTTTAAAGTTAATGACGAGTAAAGTGATATAGGAAGAATGCTAGAAAATTAGGTTATGAGAATTTTTTAAATAAAATTTTGATTTTTATTACATTTCAATTTTTGATGGTGTTAAATTTTATTCAAAAATTCTCGGAACCAGATTTTTCTAACCTACTCATACAATTGACCTTCTTTACTATATACTCTCAAGACCGAAATTTAACGAAAAACATTGTTCAATTTATAAGTTACGACGTCATTTAATACATGTATCACAAAATATTACAATACTTGCAAAACTTTTATTCATAATTCATAATTTACAATTAAGATAAATAATTAAGCAGAAACAAAAGGAATAAGCAAAGGATTACTAAGGAGAAATTCGTTGAAGTCGCCCAATGGTCGGTAGTCACATCATTTCGAATCCACTTTAGCATTGAATTCGTCTATCATACATTTTCGCTTCTTA